AGGGCTGCCTTATTACTGTGTAAATGTGATTTAGAAATGTTGAGAGAAAATTCTGAGCAACAAAAGATCTTTGATGATGAATTTAAATAATAATACATTCAATAATGATACATGACTAATATGAATTAATGATCAAATTGGTTAAAATACCAGTGTATTTGTATTACTCGCATCAGAAATCTCTCTGTCACATTATGGTGAATCATACATTATAGCAATAAGTCTAGGTATATGGTCAAGGATAGATTTAGCTTTAGGTCAGGATAAAAGTAAAGGTTACGGGTGCAGTGGTTAGTGTTAGCCTTAAGCCGGATTTATACGTATATGTGGGTTAAAGCGAACCTTTGACAGCTACATCCATAGACTCTAATCATATGCCATATGATTGGCATGCTGTCTCCAATATATAACTACATTTAAAGGGACATTTTACCCAAAAACCAAAAGCACTTAGTTTTCCTCTTATCTGAAATGCTATTTATCAGTCTAGACTGTTTTGGTGTGAGTTGCAGAGTGTTGGAGATATCGGCTGTAGATGTCTGCCTTCTCTCCAATATAATGGAACTAGATGGCACTCAGCTTGTGGTGCTCAAAGCACTAAAAAATACATTTGAAAAACTCAGCAGCAATGTCTCTTTCCATAAATCATGACCTGGTTACTAAAGATAATCCACAGACCTTGTTGTTAGCAGCTTTATGTAGGAACTACTTTCTTTCTACTAAATGACACCCGCCAACTGTATCACTACGCAGAAAGAAGCATGCATCTACTGCTAGCTCACCTAGCACCACTAAGCCAGCTAATTTTACACCTCAGCTGAGGAGTACATCATCATTGTTTACATCTCCCTGTCAATGAGAAGATGCACTCTTCCTTCTGTGCAGTGATACGGTTGGCAGGTGTAGTACGGTGGAAAGAAAATAGTTTCTAAATAAAACTGCTCACAACAAGGTCTTTGGATTATCTTGAGGAACCAGGTCATGCTTTCTTGAAAGAGAAATTGCTGTTGAGTTTTAAAAGAGGTCAACTAAACAGAGCCTAGGTCAGACTATGCTAACTTAACAAAAATTAAATAAAAATGAGTGGACTAAACTAGCTTAAACAAACTGAACAAAAGGGGAGCATGCAGTGTATAATGGCTGATCAGACCATTTTTGAAACAAAGGGGTAGCACAAAAACAAACTCTACCACCTAAACTACAGACGAAACAAAACAGGTCAAATAGTCTTGCAGTGTAAGGAATTTTTGCAAATAACTAAAACAAAAGCACCGATAAACTATACTACTCTAAATATATAACACCATTTCTATATTCTTAATTCTTAATAGCTTTTTTACTGGATATACTTAATATATCTGTACTATATTGAGTCTATACTCTCAATCATCACTTAAGACCCACTAGAGGTGTGTGGCAGTGTATATCTCCTGAGACTTTGCCCTCTGCCTGTATTTCCTTCTTATTATCTGTGTTTGGGACATTTGTGTGTGTGTGTGTGTGTGTGTGTGTGTGTGTGTGTACCCCCACAGCGCTCAGCTGAGGTCAGGGATTTATAAAAAGGTAGGGACTAGTTGCCAGACTGTAAGCGGCGAAAAAATAACACACATGTAGCAAGGTCAAACACCAAACGAAAGAGAATCCAGGGTTGGCTTTTACTTTAGCTTTCACTGATGAGCATGTTGAATAACACAAACCACAATCCTGCATTGCATACCATAAGACAGTCATATATTGTTCAGATTCCTTAGCCTAATAAAGTGCAGGATAGTCGGTGTGGTTTCTGACCATTTTTCTTGTGAATATGGAATTTTCCACATATAATAAAGGTTGTATGATGTACTTGTTATTTTTAATCTTATCTTGACTAGAATATAGTATTATATCAAATATAATTAGCATATTTCAACATTAATCTAATATTACATCAGATAATACCAGGTAGTTTGTTACTCATATATTTGCTACATCAACCCAAACCATCTTTTGTAAAGAGTGAAAAAAGGGTTGAGAAATACTCAGTTTTCCAGACCACATAAATCACACTTATAATCAATATTCAGCTTGAATCTTTCTAACCCGAGAATTCTATGTGGCCTAATATCTTGGAAGATGCTCCCTTAGCTTGTTGTTCACACAGTATTTGTCAAAAAAGTGTTGATGCTTTCTCACACTGCATTGGGATCATTAAATAAGGAAGACCAAATACATCTAAGAATGGACAGTAATTAAACTTATTGTGTTCCCAATATTTTTGTTGGAGTGCTTCTCTTTAAATATATTAATTATACCAATATAAATATTTTTCACAGTGGTAGAGATTTTTAATATAAGGACACTTTCTGGTATAGCATAAAAACAATAGCATACTACTTTGGTTTTACAGGTATTTTGAATTTATCAATACATTAATTCTAGGATAATAAGTTACCATTTTCGTAGTGACCTAACAGTGGAATTACAACTTTCGTCATGCGATACCATTGAGCTCCAAAAGACTGTTTCTCTTCTTTTCACAGTCAGGCTCTTTGATGTTGGCTTTTTATTTATGAACACAGATTTTCTCCTCATAAACATTTGATATGGAATAACAAAAATATAAAATATAAAAATAAATCAATCTTCTATGACAGTTGGGTTCAAAGTAATATTTTGCTGGTATCACAACTGATTAATTATAGCTGCTGTGCAGCAATGGGTCAGGTCCGGGCATTTTTAGGCAATTCTGAGCAACAAGCAGAAGAATTGGAAGACATTTAGGAATTTAGCAACACAATCCGCCTTTTGCATCAGCTGAGGCTTGAACTCACAACCTGAGACTAAGAATCAATTTCTATCTCACTGAGCTAATTAGTCAGTGACAATTCATGTGTAGCTTCACAAACTGACGAAGCCAGACGTGCAGGTTTAGCAGCCGTCCATGCATGGAAAAGCAGATTTCAAACCACTGTAAATAAAAATCAGTTATCGAAACAAAAATCAGAAAATACACATATTGCATCTAGACAGCATGGAGATGTTGGTAATTTGTTTGTAACAATGATTGATTTGCTTCATAAGTGAAAAACTGATGTTTAACTAGTTGAGCTATGTGCAAAGTGAGAAGCCTCAGATGGTTTCACACTGAAGTATTGACACTGGATCTGGATTGGTTTATTTTCAAGCATGAGAAGGCAGATTTTCTATCAGGAAGAAGACTTGAAGATGCTGCACAGTGATCAGTCACGCTCCTAACCTAAGACAGTCATCTACCGCTCTAAACTAATTGGCAAGTACCAACTCAACAGTGGCTTCACAAACTGAGTAAGCCATTCACTGTTGTGCAGGAAAGCAGCCATCCGTGCATGGAAATGCAGATTTCAAACCACTGTAAAAAATTCAGTTATCGAAACAAAAATCTGAAAATACACATATTGCATCTAGACAGCATGGAGATGTTGGTAATTTGTTTGTAACAATGACTGATTTGCTCCATAAGTGAAAAACTGATGTTTAAAATTGTCATTTTTACATTGACTCCAATTGTTCACATTAGAGCAAAATTCAAAATGCTGTCAAAAATTCAGTTTTTGAGATAAAATTCTGAAATTTGCCACACATCATCTACCATGATGCTAGAATTTTGTCATTTTTTTCATGAACATTGAAGATTTATTTATCAAGAATTTGCATGTATATGTTTACAGTCAAACATTTTGATGCACTGTATGGTATCAACATAAAGGATAACAAATAAAATCTAAAAAAAAAAAATTGTACACATTTGGTACAATGCCCTGCAACTTCTCACTGCAAACACTATTGGAATTGTCACTTTGAAAATTAAATTGGAAATCTGGACTGATTAAAACAAATATTTTGTCAACAATAAGGTTAGTGAAGTGCATTTTACAATTTAATCTATCCAACAAATCACCTTTTAAAATATAGAAATGATCTTTCTGAATCTTGTGTTCTATAATACTGGCACAGAAACAATTATACCTTTATTTTATGAATGCATTAAGTAGCAGAAAAAAATATCCTGGATTGATGTTAAACATGATTGATGTTATTTTCTTATTATGAAAAAAAATAAATATCTGGACAGAGGTCATATCTTTATTTTGAATCTTCTCATTTCACATGGCAAGCTTTTCATCCAAATGGTCAGTGGTGTAGTGGAGGGTATATGGGTTATATCCACCTCTATTTCAGGCCATTTACAGTATACCCACCTATCAGCTAAAACGCCATTGGAATATAGGAGCGTACACCTACTTATTCCTCGGCAACCTACTAATCTACCTTTTAGTACAAGCATGTCATCAATTACACCTCTTATCTTACATATTTACCAGATATTTAATGCTCTGTTGTTTTTAGAACTGGGCCCAGTGAGTGACCTTGACCCCGGGGTATCCACTGGTTGTTACTGGTTGTGAACATTAAAATATTGTTACTGTACTTGGTGTAACTATCATTTGAAGCATTCTCTAGCACAAGAATTACCTTTGGGATATAAAAAAAGTTCTATTAAATTGAGTTAACTTGACTTGAACTGAACTGAAATGAAATCCAATGTCCACCACCTGAAGCATGAACTGACGCTGTACTTTAAAATACTATAAGGACTGACAAATAAAGCCATCAGGACTATGATCATTTACAATTCCTTGAAAACCTTATTTTTTTTTTATTTTTAAGTATATAAGTACCCCTGCTGTTCTTTGTTCTTGTTATCAGTTGTATTTTTTAATGCTTTGTATCATTTTTGATTGAATAAAGGACGTTCAGCTGTCCCCCATAGACATACATTGTGAGAGAGACGTGTGTAAATGTGTGGATAAGTGTGAAATGACTCGTTTCATTATCAGACTTTGATCCATCGGTCTGATCACATTTGGAAAGTCTAGAGAGGGGCAAACGACTGATTCAAGTAAACGGAGCGCTAAACCGGAAGTTGCTGGCGGAAGTCAGTAATGCGCATGCTCCGTGGGCCCAAGATGCGGAAGCAGCTCTAAGTCCGTTCAACTGTTGTCTTCACATATCCATGCTGTGTCTGGAGACGTGCTTTGCGAGTACTTAATGCGTTTATACTGACGTTACATGCTTATCAAGGACGTTTAAGTCATGGGAGGAAGTACTTGTTGTGTCATTGGCTGTAGCGGCCGTTCACACGACGGACAAGGTAAAAAGATAAACAACGGGATGTCTTTCTATAGTTTCCCTGCGTGGAGGCAGAACCAGGGAAGTTATGTGTCCCACGTCACGAAGAGCAGACGGATGGCGTGGATATCAGCTGTAGGGCGACTAGACCTCAAGTTTAGCAACATCCCAAGATCATATAAAGTGTGCTCGAGACATTTTCATTCAGGTGAGTGTCACAATTTGCTCAGCATTGTGCTGTACTTGGTGTTTGGGAGCAGTTTACTGTCAGGGCTTTCTGCTACAAAGCGTGTTTAACGTTGTGAATGGGTCCGTTTTAACCCAGTCAACGTTTTTTTCCTTAACTTACCAAGTTGTATTGTTGTTTAAACCCAGGAATAGTGAGTTAGCGAGTTGGCAAGTTGGTTTGTTTATATGGAAGATAGCCCGCTGCGATTACACGTAAAGATGGCTGCCGCTCTGACCATCCTGTTATGTTGATTTAAATAAGAATGTCCTTTCTACCCTCATTTTATGTCTATGCCTAAACTTAACCAAACTGCGGCTGAAAACTAAAGCCAAAAGCTTTTCTATTTTGTGTTTATGACTTTCCTGTTGGTTGCAAATAACTTGTATCCGTGTAGTAGTCTTTTTTCTGTCTTGGTTGTTAATTCAGCATTATGTCTCCCTGAAGGTAAACCTGCATATGAAATGGATGAGTCACATCCAGACTGGGCTCCAACACTACACCTGGGTCACTTTGAAGATCATGCCACAGAGTCACACCAGCAATCTCGCCAGCTAAAAAAAGGAAAGATGGAAGTGACAGCAGCGGATGGTGTGGACGGTGAAAACCAGGCAGAAGAGGAGGTTTGTGGAAAATGGGCAGAGGTGGTCGTGGCAGTAGACGAGGATCACGGAGACCAGGATGAAGAGGAAGCAGCAGAAGATGAAGTGGCACATGAACCGACAGCTAAGAGACCAAAAACAGAATGTCAGTTCTGTGAGCGCAGCAGTGCAGAAATCGACCGTCTGTTGCAGGAGAACAAGGAGCTCAGGTGTGAGCTGAATAAGAGAAGGATGGATGAACACTTCTTGGAGGCTAACACAGACAAGGTCCAGTATTACACAGGACTTCCATGTTTTGCTATTTTAGTCGCACTGTTCAACAATGTTAAGCCCTCCCTGCCGGTTACAAAGAACTTATCACCCTTTCAAATGATTTTATTGACACTCATGCGTCTGAGGCTTGATCTTCCAGTCCAGCACCTCGCCCACCTCTTTAGTGTTTCATGTGAAACTCTTTCCGCTGCCTTTGCTGACACCGTAGACGTTTTATATGCACGCCTTAACCCTTTGGTGCACTGGCCAGAGAGGCATTGTTTACAAGCCACAAAACCACAGAAATTTTTGGAAGCTTTTGGCCAACGTGCTGTTATTATTGTTGACTGCTTTGAAATACGTACAGAAAGGCAATCTGATGTAAAATCACATCCACTGGCTTTATCCCACAGCAAAAGTATGGACACAATGAAATACCTCATTGGTATTACACCACAAGGTGCGATATCATTTATTTCCAAGGGCTGGGAGGGGCACTCCTCTGACATGCACATAACTGAAAACTGTGGCCTTCTTAACAAATTGTCACCAGGTGATATAGTGTTAGCTGATCGAGGCTTTGACATCAAAGAAAGTGTGGGACTGATGTGTGCGGAGGTTAAAGCTCCTGCGATCACTAATGGACAATGTCAACTTGATGCTAAGGATGAAGAAAGCACACGAGCAATAGCACACCTACGGGTTCATGTTGGAAGGGTGATTGATGGCATGCGCAACAAGTACACAATGTTACATAAGACAATACCAGCTAGTTTGTTACTCCCGTGTGAGGGTGAGGAGATGACGCTCCTCGACAAGATTGTGAATGTTTGTTTCATTCTAATTAACATGTGTCCCAATGTGGCTGCAAAACCTGATGGATCTTAAAATGTGCATGATGAATGGGTGCTTTTCAACCAGCTTTGTATCACAACAGTGTGGGTAGTCTGTGTAAATGAACTATGGCAAACTTCCCTCCATTTTACCAGCTCTCAGATCTCTCTGCTCATCTGTCAGCTCCACTGGGTGATGCCTTTTACAGACGCAAAGAGTAAAGGAGCAGATCGAGAGTGAGGGCCACTCCTCTCCCTCTCTCTCTTAAACGCAGACTAAACCCAGATCAAATAGTAAGACTAAGCAGTGCTGGTCAAATATAAACCAAGATTCTGTCACTGCGTTGCCTATTTTTGCCTCAAATGTTTTCTGAAGCATATTCTAACTTACTGTTAACAGTAATTTGAGATTGTTTGCTACCAGCTGGCTGTCATATTGTTTCCTGTGGAAAAACGACCTAACTCACATTAAGTCACCCACTAGCAGGAGGGTTTATTGATCCAATGCAGCGCAGTGCAGTCTGGTAGTTGTAGGCTTTCTACCTCTTGCGCAAAAGCAAATACCACAGCCCTTCTACTGTGTTTTCTGTGGTTATATAGCATAGACACCAGTTACATGAACGAAAACATCTTTTCAGCAGTGAAATACTTGTGTAAATGTTATAGGAGATGTTGGTATATGTCATATA